TTATTCCCCTTATTTCTGGGGATGGATCAATAAACAAGAAATAACGTTACTTCTTAGTTGATTTCAATTTCTGGTAACCCTACAAGGCATAGTAGAAACTGTCTCACTGTTTCTAAATGTGTAAATCTTTACAGAAATAGTTTACAACTTCTTTCTCAATCGCCCGCAAACACGTCATCTGTTACCACAATCTAAAATACCTTTTTTGTCCCTTTATACATGAAGACAATTGTAAGCCAATATTCTATTTCTTTTGACAACTCTTTTGGGTAGAATGCATTTTTATTTTAACTGCTAACTCATTAACAATCTACATATGTACTAGGGGGAAACGAAAATTATTTTCTAACGTTAACGGCGAAGGAAATAACATTGAAATATGTTTCTAGAGGCTTTTTGTAACAAATACCAAATCTGACGAGAGAAACACGTGAGAAAATTCCTAAGTAGGAGCCACTAACAGCCAGGAACGCCTCAGACGACGTGCGCTTTTCGGGACAGTCTTCGTGGAACCAGCTGTCAGGTAGGTTCTTTAAGGCGCACCTGGATGAGCCGCGGAAAGTAGGTGCTGACGGTATGAGCCTGCGCCTGCGCAGATCCTCCCTGAGTCCTTAGTAAGAGACCCGGATGAAGGACTCGGAGTCGCGTTGTTGCCATGGCAGCCCGGTCCCAGCCACCTCGGGAGCCGGTGCTGGGGTCCCTTGCGCTAGAGCATAGGAAGAGGAGAAGAGAACTCCCTTGGCCATCTCGGTGACCCCACCTGCTTCGTTCTCCACAGGCAGGAGGAGACGTAGAGGGAGAGAAGGGAAGGATGATGCGGGTGTTTGTGATGGGAGAGCGGGTAGAAGGATAAACGTCTGTTGTCGCTGGATGAAAAGGGGGCGGAAGAGCCAGCAAAGAGCCTTCTTATGGGCGCATTATCTCTCCTAGTTTGGGGGTCTGCAGAACCTGGTGCTATGGGGGAAGCCTGGCAAAACTTCGGCTCACTGTATGGGAGGAAAAGTCCTCTGGGGGTAGCTTGGACTAAATCTTCGCAATATTCTTTCCCATCTCAAAAGTTCTGAAACGTACAAAGTAATATTTTTTCATCCTAAAAATTTAGGATTAAGGTAATTCTTGATAGGTTAGGCTTCATGAAGAAGTGTTAGTATTCTTTAGTTGATGAAACATTGGAACCCTGGATAAAAGTATTTTTTAAAATAGTTTCTTTTCATGCATCTTGGCAGATTATTATTTTCTAATTACTAGTAGAATCATCTTCTGGGCAGGATGCCGCAGGAATAATGAATGAGATGGCCTTATGATGTTAAGAATTAGCTGTTTATGTACTTATTTAGTATTAAAGAGCTGTCTTTTTTTACATTCCTCTTAAATTTCAAACAAGCCTGTGTTTGAAAAGCTGAGTTAACTCAGGACAGGAGTCAATGAATGGCATTAAACTAGTTTTAAATATATAGAATATATATATAAGTATATCTAAAAATATACAGAAGAAAGTCATAGAAACTTTATGTATCTATTTTACTTGGTTTAGATTCCCACTAAAAGATCTACAGTTAGCCCCCAGAGATTTTTCAGACACTTAGGAGGAAAGAATTAATTTTTTTCTACAATTCTTTATGAAGAGATACACCTGGTCTAAGTAATTTATAGTGATGTTCAAATTTGAAGATTAAGTAGATGAAACTCAAATAGGAAATAAATACAGGGTAGTTTTGTTCCTGTAAAATGCATTCTTGCTTGAGCATGTTGATTGTGTACCATATGGACCCTAGGGATGAAGATTAAAAGAGCTGAAGGAGGTTGGATATCCTGTGACGCATTTGAAAATAGCTTAAGGGATTTGGTATCAAGGATTTATCATTTATATTCTTGTTTGCTTGGGAAGCAGTCATGGGTTTTTCCAACCAAGTTATAGGAAAAGAACACTTGACTTACTCTTCAGTTACTTTAATTATAACACCTCTTTTTAAAATCATAGGAGAATACTTTAATAAGACTTCATGTACTTAATGTAAATAGTATTATTTATTATTTTATTTTCTGTTTTTAATTTAAAATTTTCATGTAGGGATTTTTTGTAATTAATAAGGAATGTCTACAGAAGTCTTCATACAACCATATGTTTACAATTTTAGGACAATGTTTATGATATATTGTAAGGAAGTCTGGAAGAGTCCCATAGAAAGTCTTATTCTAACAGTTCCTTCTACTTAAAGACAAGTAAGAAACTAGAAATTCTATCTTAATTATACCAAAATTTTATCATGAATTTACAACATTTTATACCAGGTTGCCATTCTGAAAGTATACATGGCAGCCATTTAAATACTGTGGCCTATAAATACAGTTGTCATTTCACTCCTGGATGTTTTTCTTCTTTAGTTTAACATCTTCAGTATTTTCACTTATACCTCTGAATGCTTTTCAATTTTAAGGCGGTTTGCTCTTACGCTTTGATCTTTCTTTTTGAATTGCTAAACTATAAATGTATTCCAGTTGTGTCTCATGTTTAAACTATAGTGCATGAAATTGGACACATGTTTCATATTCACTTATCTCCCTGCAGTCTCAGCCTTAAAGGTCTGTTTTGGTTACCTTTTGAGCCTTCTTTTAACTCATTTAAACTTACTTGTCACTAAAACTTGTTTACACATGAAAATGAAAGCCATTGAATGCTTGGGTAATAAGTAGAAAGATGTTTTCCGACATAATTTCACAAAACTTGCAAATAGTCAACGATCTGGGGACAGTACTTCATAGTAAATATTTATATTTTTTTTAGGGTTAGGGTTAAGGCAAGGGTTAGGAATAGGGCTAGAAGTAGTTCTCCATATAGTGTTTGGGTTAGGATTAGGGAGTAAATTATTCTTATAGTAGTATATAAGAGTGTGGTAAGTGCTCAACAAATGTTTGTCAAATTATGTTTTAGGTGTGCATGTGTATATGTATAGTACATACACATACATATATACAGTCACATTATAGGTAAGAATTTAGATGATTATACAGTTTGAAAAGTTTATACTTAAGAAATTACCAAGGATAGAAACTGGCCTTAACTTGTGGATAACTAGCTTATTTCACTTTAAAATGGCTGAATTTTTACTCTATCTTCAAAAACTTCTATGGACTTTAATCTGACATCCCTGTTTATTGTTCATATTTTCCAGATATTTTTATGGTTCTTTATAATGAAAAAATATTTTTAAAAATTTATTGTTGTTGTTATTATTTGTTGTTGTTGTTGCCATTAGGTCAAGTGCAACACACAGAGACCCTATGAATAATAGATCTGAACCTTGCCTATCCTGTGCGATCCTTATAATCTCTGATATGCCCATTGTTACAGACACTATGTTAATGCATTTTGTTGAAGGTCTTCCTCTTTGACTCTGACCCTCTAGTTTTCCCAATATGATGTCTTTTCCTGAGGCCTAGCACCTTCCTGACAACATTCCTAAAATATGATACTAAGTCTCACCGTTTTTGCCTTTAAGGAGTACCCTGATTGCATTTCCTCCAAGATATACCTGTTTGTTCTTTTGCCAGTCTATGGAATGATCTTTTTCCAACACCACAATTTAAAGGCATCGATTCTTTTCCTGTCATATTTATTCATTGCCCAACTATAAGAATGGTAGGTGGTTGTTGCTGTGTACCATTGAGCTGGAGCCAAACCATAGTGGATCCTTTGGTGGGTTTTCAGAGGCTGTTAATCACTCGGAAGAGATAGCCCATTCTTCTTCCAAGGAGCAGCTGGTGGATTTGAACTGTGTGCTTTTGGGATTACAGCACAGCTTCTTACCACTAGGCCACCAGAGCTCCTAAGAATGGTATATTTATGGAAATATTTGACCATTGCAAGTTTCTCTATTAGGGGAAATTTTATATATATATATATATATATATACATGTGCATATTTCATGTTTTATGTGTTAATTTACTCATTCATGAAAACAATAGTGCATTATTTTATTCTTACTTTCCACATTAATCGCCATATTTCACAGCTGAGATGGATATAACATATTTTTTACCTCTTTAAATCTTACAGCATTAATCATTAGAAAAGAAAAAAAATGAGTGGAAATAAAGTCACTGATTCAAAGGAAAGTGGAGAATATGAAGATGACTTTGAAAAGGATCTAGAATGGTTAATTAATGAAAAAGAAGAAGATAGTGTCAACATAATAGAGGTATATAAAAATTGGCAATAGAATTTATAATAATTATGTTAGCAAAATACCAAAATACTTTGCAATACATGATAGATTCTACTTAGTTTACAAAATGTCTTTGATGTAAATGGACTAAATATCATTATCCCCATTTTAGAGATGAGGAAATTGAGTTAAAACGTACTCGAAGGCATAGGGGCTGCTGGTAAAAGAATAAGATTAGCACTTAATAAAGATAAAGTTATAGTTTGCATAATATAAATAATACAATTATAATTTATTATAGCAAAAGTAAAAACAAATAGTTAATCTTTACATGAACTTGAAGAAAACCATGTTTGTTTGTTTTTTT